ACATTGATTTTGTGCGCATTTTGGATTTGATCGATCTCGTTCGATTTGATTGAGCAGAAGTGGTTCTGAATGTTTGGCATTGTGATTGCGAGTGGCATTTTCTGGTGTGTGCATATTTTGTCAAATGTGTTTGATGAGAGTGAAATGTTAGGAATGTGTGGTGGATCCTTAGTCCCTGCGCTGGTTCAGAGGTTGAATGATGTTTAAATATGTGTAATGCTGGCTAGTGCTTATTGTTATGTGCATTAGAAAGGTTGTATGTGTGATCTGGTTTGATGGTAGATCAAATGAATGGGACTAAAGGCTTTGTTTGTGTTTGTTTAGATCTGATCTATGTGACTGTGATTATACCAATGCTGGAGAGAAAATTGTGAGATAGTTCTTCCTGTGAGATCTGGATCTTAGCTGGATTAGTGTAATCATGTTTGTTTAATGCATGTTGAGAATGGTTTGTGAAGTTCCAGAATTGTGAGTTTGATGGAGAAAGAGTATTTGTGTAGCTTAGTTTGTTGGTTTAATATGATAACGCAATCAAAGTGAAATGAAATCGATATTGTTAAAAATGGTGATGTGAGAGAACTATACTGTGTTTTAATTAATTTATATGATATATTAACAATTGTGAATTTAAGAATTTGTTTTCCTGTGCATTTGAGCCTCTACAACTGCTTTCCTCAATCATCTGATGTTATTTCAGCTATCTTGAGGAACTATATTATTATGATCTGAATTCTGATGCTACACTATAAATTTTCTATATTGACTTTCCGTGCTACGATTTCCTTGATTTTCTTTCTATTTTGAAATTTGTAACTGTATTGTCCTATTGTGGAGCTCTTCCATTTGTATTCTTTGAGTGCTATTTGTACTTTGTGTTCGTAATAAATATGGTATCTTAATTGAGAAAAATCAAAGCTAATAAATATACATTATCCTGTTAAAAAAGAATCCCATTGCTGTGATTCGTGCCACTCTTCTTTTATTTATGCTTTCTCTTTGTCAAAGTTCGTACAGTTTCCTTTCAATTATATGAGCATTTATAAGCAATGATGATTACTTTCGCTGATGCTTGTTTTACATGTGACAAATAGCCGGTGACTGGCTGCAAGGTCCATATGTTTACTACCTTTACAGCACTTATGGTTTTGGGAAAGGTGAAATTGGACAGCTCTTTATTGCCGGATTTGGGTCATCCATGTTGTTTGGAACTATCGTTGGATCACTAGCAGATAAACAGTGAGATATTCTTCTAAAATAATGTTATTTTCATTTTTTAACCACGGAATTTATTCTCCCCCTGTTGAGTGTTGACTTCTGTGAGAAATTGCAGGGGAAGGAAGAGAGCTTGTGTCACTTACTGTATCACGTACATTCTGAGCTGCATTACCAAGCATTCTCCTCAATACAGAGTTCTGATGATAGGACGTGTTTTGGGTGGTATTGCGACATCCCTCTTGTTTTCTGCTTTTGAATCATGGCTTGTGGCAGAGCATTTCAAGGTGACTTTGTTTTTATGTATAATTATGTTCCATTTTGTGCACTCCCATAGGTCATACTGGTAGTGCTTACTGCATTTTGGAATAGTTCTTGTCAGTTGTCCTCGTCATGTTGAAACTTCTGTAACCGAATATACAGATAGATAGTTTGATTTCATTATATTTCTCTCAAGCATATTATTGTAGACTATTATAATGGGTTAGCAACTTGTAAATTGTTGATATCTCTTCTGTCCGGAACTTGTGAGTTCATCTTTCTGGGATGAAGAGAGAGAAGTTTTTCTTTTGGTTGTTTTATTGAAGTTTGCACATCATGGAAAGAAGTCTTTGTTCTGCACACTCATTTTTCATCACGTTTTGTTTATACTATAATTAGTTGCGTGTACGATATGTGCTGACTGCACTCTATGTTTTTTACATATATGCAGAGGGGTTTTGACCAGCAATGGCTCTCATTAACTTTCTCCAAGGCAATCTTTCTTGGCAATGGTCTTGTTGCTATTATATCTGGACTCTTTGGAAATATGCTTGTTGATTCCCTGAATCTGGGGCCCGTATCTCCCTTCGATGCTGCTGCCATACTTCTTGCTATTGGGATGGCAGTTATATTGTCATCTTGGACCGAGAACTATGGAGACCCTTCAGATAACAAGGATTTGCTTACTCAGTTCAAAGGTGCAGCCGTAGCAATTGCTTCAGGTATTCATAATTCCTCTCTACTTGATTAACACATATGTAGATGATTGCATGTAAATGGAATTTATAAAAGCTGCGGTACAATTTGGTTACCATGTCATTATGGTATAAACTTTTCTTGTAAATAAGAATGATTAATCTTGAGCGGGTAAGTGGAAATGTAATTACTAACGTTGATTCTATGTTAAAAAAAATAAGTAAAGAAATAAATGTCCATAAATGGAGTTAAAAGATTGTTGATTGGATTTCTTTTTTTGGACAAAACTATATGTTGAAGCATATGTGGGAGAACAAAGTGAAAGTGAATAAAGAATTTTTTGAATATTTTCTTAAAAAATATATCAATATTTCCTATGAAGGAAATCCCAAAATGAGATTATTTCCAATTGCACGTGGTAGTTCTAGGTTCCATCTGCACGTGTAATTGGACAGAATTTAGACCTTTCAGGCAACACTTTCAACTTTCCAAACAATCTTGTTTTCTTTCTTATTTCTTGGTAGATATCGTTTTCTACTTCCATGATTATTATTAGTTTCTTCTGTTCTTTCGTTGAAACTTGATGCGAAATGATATTCATGTTGTCAGATGAGAAGATAGCATTGCTTGGTGCAATACAGTCTCTGTTCGAAGGCTCGATGTATACTTTTGTGTTCCTCTGGACACCTGCCCTAAGCCCAAACGATGAGGATATTCCCCATGGTTTTATTTTTGCAACTTTCATGCTGGCATCAATGTTGGGAAGCTCGATTGCTGCTCGCCTGTTGGCCCGCAACACAATAAAAGTGGAGAGCTACATGCAGATCGTGTTTGTTATTTCTTCCGGCTCCCTTTTGCTCCCCATACTGACAAATGTATGTTAAAAAAAGTCTATTTGCTTTTTTTTTCTTTTTTAAATTTATTTTGATTTCAGTTGTATCTAATCCTAATTTCTCCTGTGGCAGTTCTTGGTGCCGGCTCCAAAGGTACAAGGGGGTGGCATCTCATTCTCGGGCTGTCTTCAGCTTCTTGGCTTTTGCACTTTCGAAGCGTGTGTTGGACTCTTTTGGCCGTCCATTATGAAAATGAGATCCCAATACATCCCTGAGGAGGCCCGAAGCACTATAATGAACTTCTTCCGAATCCCACTAAATATCTTTGTTTGTGTCGTGCTGTATAATGTAAGTTTCCTATATTTTGCTACATTATTGTCATCCAAGCCACCTGTATTCAGGCATAAGCAGCTTGATAGTTACACATATCTGCAATTCAAGCATCTTTCCTAACATGATCCCATGGTTTATTTACGTATG